CATGAATAAGCAAATGTGTAACAGGTGACGTGCATCACAGTGTCTGCGCTCAAACCTCCCCACTGCAAAAAAACAAAAAACAAAAACACCCCAAAAATCCTCCAAAGCCCAGGGCAGTGGGAGAAGGTAGGGTATCAATGGAACATCTATGTGGAGCTATTTTAATAATCCTGTTTCCTCTGAACACGAATGACTAACGGAGTAGCAGAAACTGGATGGTGCTGGCCATGTTTCTTCATAGAGATTGAGGGAGGTTGATTCTAAGCACCCTTCAAAACACCGCCTATCCAAAGTTCACATCTAAAGAGAAAACAACTTATTAAAACAATACCAAAGGGAACAGTGATATTATTGATATAGATTTTACATGGCTGTTAAGGGTATAAAAATAACTATCATTTTGCTTTTAGTGTTTTCTTGCTAATAAATATTGTATGCAAACAGAGAGGATAAATTAAAAACAGTCGTAAAAGATTTTCTACTGTAAGCTTTTAAATATTCTTTTCCTCTTTAAAAAAACAAAACCAAACCACAGTGGAACTACATATTTAATATATGAAAGATCATCCTGAGGATTTTTTTTTTGCTTGCACTGACACTCTAAATGTTTTAAAAGTCTTTTTGGTTACATGACATTCCTCAAAGTTTACTGAAGCCATTAGCAAGTCCAAGAAATAGCTTATCAAATTAAGCTTCTTAAATGTTATTACTCCCCTTGGACTCACCATTGAGCTGAGAAACGTACCTAATCCACTAGTAGGGAATTGCATAGGCTCTGTAATTTGGAGAAACATGTCTGGGTTACCTTATTCAACTGAACTATGAATTGACTGTGAGTAGATTTCCAAAATTCCATCCTGAGTTTATTTTTTATTTAATGGACAAAGACTCTAACGGGGATCTTCTCAATCAGAATAAAGCCCCAGGTCACATTTAGACTAAGGCTGTGCCCTGAACCCATGCTCTCTGCACACCTTCTCTGGGAAGGGGCCCTAGTTGATTCCGAACGTGGAGGCCTCCCTAGCTAACATTACTCACATGGGCCTATCCTGATGTATTCTCTCACATGTAGGATTTACAGTCAATGTGGGAATGGAGGAAGAGGAGATGTGTATTTAAAAAAACTCACAGCTTTGGAGGACAGGCTGGCTGACACTCATACAGCACTCATTTTGTAGGGTATTTTTTTTGCAGAATTTTACATTTGTTACTTTAAGACTTAATTTTCAAATTATTCTGAATAGCCCAAGTTCTTTGCCACCAGAACCAAGTTCCTTCTGAATTGCAGGGGCTCCCCCTAAAGGACTACTGATGTAATGCTGTAGGATCAGCACTGGACTGTGACCCACAAGGTCAGTGGTTCAAACCCACCAGCTTCTCTTTGGAAACCCTAGACAGGGTCATTGTGAATTGGAACCGACTCACAGCATTTAACAACAACAACCACTAGAGGAGACTTGTTGTTGTTAAGTACTGTCAAGTCGATTCCGACCCACAGTGACCCTGTATCGGATTTCCAGGGAGTAGCTGGTGAGCTTGAACTGCCTACCTTGCAGTTCAAACAGCTTTACAGTTTGGTGCATTAACCCACAGTGCCACACTAGGATGATGCAAATTCTTAACACATTTGCCTGCTAACTGAAAGGTTGAAGGCTCAAGTCCACCTAGGGTCACCTAGGAAGAAAAAGGCTGGCAATGCAGTTTTGAAAAACAGCCACTGAAAACCTTGTGGAGTGCAGTTCCATTCTGACAAACATGGGGTCGACATGAGTCAGAACTGACATGATGACAACTGTTTTTTTTGTTGTTTTTTTTTCTAAAAGAGTGAGTTGTGGTGAAGAGAGTGGACAGGCTCCTTGCCCAGCCTGTCCTGGACAATGCCCTTCCTGGCATCTTCTGTATGGGACAGTGGTGAACTTTTCCAGTGTCACTGTTGGGTGCCGTTAAGTAATTCAACTCACAGCAATCCCATGGGACAGAGAACTGTCCCTTGGCTTTTTGTGGTGGCACTGCAGGATAAGTACTTAACTGCTAACTGTAAAATTAGCAGGTCAAGCCTACCAGCCACTCCTCAGGAGAAAGATGAGGCTTTCTGCTCCTATAGAGATTTACAACTTCAGAGATTCTATGCAGGGTCGATGGGTCGGAATCGACTTGTTGGAGATGGTTTTAGCTTTGTAATCTGTACGGAAGCAGAGTGGCAGGTCTTTCTCCCAATCACTTGGTAACTTTGAACCACTTAGCCTTAGGGCTCGCAGCCAGGCACTTAACTGGAGTGCCACCAGGAGTCCTTGAGTTTCTTAGTTTCCACTCAAATTTCTGTTTCTCCTCCCTTTTCTGGACACATGGATGACTAGGTTCCTAGGCTTCCCTGCAGCTGGTCACAGTGGTGGGACTAGTTGTAGTCAGAGTCCTGGAAAGGAGGTAATGTGTATCACTTCCAGGCCAGAGCACTAAAGAGCTGGTGTGAGAGTCTCCGTGTTTGCTCCTCATCATGCTGGGAAACCAAAGCCTCAAGCTAAGATGGAAATGCCACAAGGTTGCATTAGCTTGGGATGTTGAGAGCGACCTTGGAGAAGAAGCTGTCCTGGACAACTGTCTGTATCTTTTGTGAGTATTTTGGAAGAAATACACTTCTGCAGTTGTTTTTGAAATTTTGGTGTTGTCTGTTATGACATCATAACCCAACTTGTTCTCAATGATGCATGTGTTTATCAAATATAATTGTCAGAAACTAAGTCTGCCCTGCTGAAGCTTTGTGAGATTTGTGCTCTGGTCCAGTCTTTACACTATCTTCTTGCCTATTGATAGAGAATGTCGAAGGGCAGAAGGGTGCTTACAAGTGTCAGTTACTGGCAGTTGGATTCTGACTCTTGGTGCTGATTGTCACTGGGTGATTTTTTCATATGTACATCACCAATCTTTTGGTTATTATCGAAGTGCCTTAATCATCTGTACCAACCAGGGAGTCCATAGCATTTTGTTTATCTACCAAAACAAAGCTGTTGATTACTTACTCTGAAGTCATTACCCATTTGTTTTTGTGACTGAGCCTCCATTTTGCTTGAGCATCTGCACTTTTCCATGAAGCCCTGTGTGTCTCTGAGTCAATCATGATACTCCATGGCCATGTGACACATGTCTAACCAAGGAGGTGAGAGGTGGAGTCTCCTGGGGAGTGAAATTCTAGTTAAGTTTCCTCTTTCTTAAAAAATATACATATATATGTGTATATGTGTGTGTGCATGCGTGTTGGCAGGAATCTTTTCCTTTGGATTCTTTTGTGTCTCTACATGACCCCTGGAATCCTGTACTTATGTTGGGACCATGACAGAAGTTACACCATCATCGAGACCAGCTGAGTACAGAAACAGAAAAATTCCATGCATTGCTAAGTCACTGAATTTACCGACCCTTGAGATGTTTGACCTTAGGAATTCATATTAAATCTGAAAATAAATTTCCTTTGTATTTTAAGTCAGTTGAGATGTCCTTTTACATACAAAAGGGCTTCAAAAAGTTTATGGTAAAAAAAAATCCATTATTTTGTAATTTCCATTTTCCATGAACTTTTTGAAGCCCTCCCACCACCCCCTTTTTTTTTTTTTTTTCACAAGGAGCTCTGGTAGTATAGTGGGTTATAAGTTGGGCTGCTAAAAGCAAGGTTAGCAATTCAAATCCACCAGCCACTCTGCAGAGAAATATGAGGCTTTCTGTTCCCATAAGATTTACAGGTTTGGAAACCCTGGACAGGGCCATTATGAGTTGGAACTGAGTCAATATCACACAACTACCACTGTATTCTTTTGCTGGACGAGAATTTATTCTTTTTCCTTTCTTCTACTTTTTGGATTTTTTTCCCCTCCTTTTTCTGGCAAGGTGCCACACATACTCAAATTAAGTATAAGAGCCAGTGAAAAAGTATTGGTATAAAAATCACAGACATTGTTAGTAAACCAAAATATCAAGATCTGAAGCTATTATTTCTTGGCATATGCTCCCTGTAAACCTGTATGTTCCTGTAGGTGGTATTCCCTACCCCGAAGAATCTGTGCTTTTAGATTTGCACATCAAAATGGCGGCTTGGTGTGGCCAAGGGTCTCAAGTCATGTTCCTTTGAAATGTTCTTTGAATTTGGGGAACAAAGAGAAATCTAAAGGGTGAAGATCAGGGCTGTAGGATGGATGGCATAAGGTTTCCCAAGGAAATGATACAGGACAGCTCTTGCTATCCTCGAAAAATAAGCAACTACTTACCATGTTGGAAAAAAAAAAAACTCCTCAGTGTACTTTCCTGATCTCTATCTCACCAATGCAATTTTCTTAAAACTTGTTCCTAATAAGCTCTTGTGGTCATACTGTGTACTTTGAGAAAATATATCAGGATTATTCCTTTGGGATCCCCCCCAAACACCCTAATATCAATACTTTCTGATTAACCCTTGTATATTGGCCATCAACTTTGAGGATCTGAATTTGTACCTCAGCTTTGCCACGAATTGACCCAAGATAGTTAATTAGTTTTGGAGTCCTGTTGTGGAATTGAAGGATAAGCAATGGACTGCTAACAGCAAGGTCGGCAGTTCACAACCACCAGCTGCTCCTTGGAAGCCCTATACAGAGTCGCTGTGGGTCGAAAAAAGCTCGATGGCACAACAACAATAGTTAAGAAGTTTTCCTCTGCCTCCCGTGTTTCACTGTAAAACAGGACTAATGGGAGCTGTTATGGCTGCTGAGTTTGATTTCATAGTGACCCCATAAGATAGAGTAGAACTGCCCCAAGGGGGTTTCTAGGCCGCAATCTTTACAGAAGCAGACTTGGGTCTTTTCTCCTGCAGAGCCTCTAGTGGAGTGCCTAACTGTCGAGCCACTAGGAATCTTTGATAAAATCTGTAGAGAGATATAATAACAATTACACCTACTCCTCATTACTGACTTTCTTGTTAGTCTAATTTACGAATTTACAAGAGTAAAACAAATCTACTATCAGATGATTTTAGTTCAGAGGATCTCCAGGTGACCTCCAGGAAAGGGCTCAGCTGCTGCACCCTCTGCGCCCCCTGCAGCAGGGGTGGGGGTGCCACACTCAGCTGCTGTGTTGGGTGGCCTCCTCTTCAGCCTTTCCTGGGAATATGACCAGGTCCCCAGTGTTGGTTTCCTGCCAGCCCTTTTCTGACCAAAGGCATGGTTAGGTTTCAAAGACCAGGCTGTCATGTGAAAATCAATCAGTGTTAGGCAAAAAGGGAGTTTTGTTTTTTGTATCTATTTTCAGACCATCTATTTGTGCAGTTTTTTTATTTAGAAAATAGTCTCTGGACATAACAACAGCTAAGATTCTCATCTGGTGTGGCTCTGGAGGATAAGCATTTGACCTCAAGGTCAGCTTGAACTTTAAGGTTGGAATTTCACCAGCTGTTCCTTGGAAACCCATACAGGGTCACTATGGATCAGAACTGACTCAATAGCACTTAACAACAACATACAGATCGAGTGTGTATGGTGCTGTAAAGATTGCTATTGTTAAATGCCATCAAGTCAATTCTGACCCATAGTGACGCTGTATAGGGTTTCCGATGAGTGGCTGGTGAGCTTGAACCACCAACCTTGTGGTTCAAACTGACTTTGCAGTCCACTGCCTTAATCCATACATAGTGCCATACCAGGGCTCACCCTAGAAAATTCTATGGGGCAGTTCTACTCTTTCAAATGGGTTCAATATGAGTCAAAAATGAACTTAAAAGCATCTAACAAGAATTGTAGGAGCTCTGGTAGCGTAGTGGTTACGAATCGGGCTGCGAAGCTTAAGGTCAGCAGTTCGAAACTACCAGCCACTCCGCGGGAGAAAGATGAGGCTTTCTACTCCCGTAAAGATTTACACCCTCGGAAACCCTGTACAGGGGTCACTATGGGTCGGAACCGACTCAACGGCACTTAACAACAACAAGAATTGTAACTCCTTCACAAGGACCCATGGGGGATTGTTAACTAGGAAGCATTTTAACACTTCTCATTGTCCTCACTCTTTCCCAGCGGTTCCTTGATCCCATCTTTTTTCTTCCAGCCTCCTCTTGGCCTAGTGGAGAGGTCAGAAGTCTTGACTGACAATCATGATCCTGCAAAGCTAAGCATTTAATACTGATTTGGGCTGCGAAGAGTTTTCAGTTGCATTCTCTAATTTAATGAGGTATCATTGCCAGTGAGCTTATCATCATATCAACAAGTGATAAGGAGTACAGTCATTGTGTAACAAATGTCATAGTAAACAGTCCTTCTGGAAAATGCTGCCTGCTGCAGAGGGTCGATCAGCTGGGAAGGAGATCTGGAGGGGAGCAGGCATGTGGTACTGGGCAGCGTGGTCAGAGGCAGGACAGAGCTTGACAGATAGGCTCAGCCAGAATCTCAGACCCACACACCTAACTTCCCAAGAGGCCCAGACCCATGCCCACCGCAGACCACAACGAACTCAGGTCCCAAATCTGGAGCTGTAACAAAAAGCATCCTGCAAACTTGGACAGAACCTCCCTGCTTTTGAGACTGCTGGCATGACTGGGTTATCTGGTGATACAGGATCTAGAGAGATTTGGAAGTATGTCCCCTACCCTGACCCCACTCTGTTGCCCCCTGTGATTTATCTTCCAGAGCCTCATTTTAAATCAAGCATTGCCAAAGATGAGTTGTGAAATTGGCAGGGGCTGGGCCTGTGTCTTTCTTAGGCTGACCTTTTGCAAGCCCTCTCTGAATCTCATCCATGCTGAGGCTGTTAAGATGGCTATCAGTCAGTGAGCTGCATTGGATTACACTGGTAGTTTCACCATAGCCTTCTCAGTCATTCTCTGACGAAAAATGAGAACGTAGAAGATTCCCTGGCAGTGTGAGAGGCAAGATACTTTGGGACTGGGGACTTTGGAGGTTCTTCCAGACATGCTAAGGACGAGGCTGCTGAGTCCAATCACGTGTGGCCAGGCACGTTCTTAGGCTTCAAATGATTCACAGAGTTGGAGAAGGATTGAGGTTGTCCATGGCTATCCCCTGACGCAGGGTTCATGGAGAGGAGGGGTCCGGGTGAGGTGGCAGTGTGCTGGGATTCCTTTTCAACTCTGCCCTGATGCCGTGGTTGAGAAAATATGTACAGGTCACAGTGTGGGTTGCCGGCCCGGGACTGGGGTGAACTGTGTTGTGTGAGTGAGCAGAGCACCCAGACAGGATTACTACTGTACCACCCTGACGCCAACGGTAGGATTTGAGAGCCTTCCTGATGCCAGTAGGAATTCCACTCCCAATAGGTTCTGGTGTTGGTGATCAGGGTTTTGGAAGGGAGCAATTTAGGAGTCTCTAGAGGCTAAGTTTAGACTTGGCTATGTCTCTCTCAGACTTTGTGGCCTTGCAAAGTCATTTTGTGGCCCCCTTTCATTCATTCGTGAAATGGGGGTACAGTAGTAGGAGGTCCTTAAGGTCATCTCTAGCTTGAAAACACAGTGGTTTCAAGAAGGGTTCTTAACCTGAGACCCAGGGGCCACATACAGTCTTCCAGGAATCCATGTTGTTGTTAGGTGCGTTGGAGTCGGCTCTAACTCATAGAACAGAACCCAACAGTGCCCAGTCCTGTGCCAGCCTCATAATTGTTACATTTGAGTGCACTGGTGTTGTCACAGTGTCAGTCCATCTTGTTGGAGGTCCTAGATACTCTAACTAGAAAATAACTCATAAATACCCTATATAGAACAGAATGAAACAGTGCAAGGCAAGTCCTGTGCCATCCTCACAATTGTTACGTCTGAGTGCATTGCAGCTCTCACTGTGTCAGTCCATCTTGGAGGTCTTCCTCTTTTTTACTGACCCTGCAGTTTACCAAGCATGAGTCCTTTTTCAGGGACTGGTCACTCTTGATAACATGTCCAAAGTATAAGAGACAAAGTCTCAACATCCTGGCTTCTAAGGAGCATTCTGGAGTCCTGGTGTGGTGCTACAGGATAAAGTACTGGACCACAAGGTTAGTTTGAACCACAAGGTAGGCAGTTCAGTCTCACCAGCTACTCCTTGGACACCTTATACAGGGCCATTACGAATCGGAAACAACTCCTTGGCTCTTAACAGCAACAAGCAGCTTCCTGGCTGATCTTCCAATACAGATTTGCTTGTTCTACTTTCTGGCAGTCCATGATACCTTTGTAAGTCTTCTCCAGCACTGCAATTCAAATGAATTGATTCTTATACTGTCATTCTTATTCACTGTCCAACTTTCACATGTATATGATGTGATTAAAAATACAATGGCTTAGGTCAGGCACATCTTAGACCTCAAACTGATATCTTTGCTCTTTAACATTTAAAAAGGCCTTTTGTAGCAGAATTACCTAATGCAATGAATCCTTTGATTTCTTGACTGCTGCTTCCATGAGTGTTGATTGTGGACCCAAGCAAAATGAAGTCTTTGACAATTTCAGTCTTTTCTATGATTATCATGATTTGGGGGGTGGGGGAGTGCTTAATTTTGAGGATTTTTGTCTTCTTTACATTGAGGTGCAATGGTCCTTAATTTTCATCAATAAGTATTTCAAGTTCTCTTCCATTCCAGCAAGGAAGGTTGCATCATTTGTGTACTGCAGGTTGTTAATGAGTCTTCCTCCAATCCTGATGCCACATTCTTCATATAATCCAGTTTTTCAGATTATTAGCTCAGATTGAATAAATATAGTGAAAGGATACAACCCTGGCATACACCTTTCCTGATTTTAAACCATCCAGTGTGTCCTTGTTTTGTTCTAACAACTGCCTCTTGGTTCCTCAAGAGCACAATGAAGTGTTCTGGAATACCCTTAGTTTGTCATGATCCACACAGTCAAAAGTCTTTGTATAGTCAGTGAAGCACAAGTAACCATCTTTCTGGTGTTCTCTGCTGTCAGGCAATGGTATCCCAATGACATTCATGTTCTCTTCTGAATCCAACAGGAATTTCTGACAATTCCCTTTGTATTTTGTGAATTCCTAGAGCCTTGTTTTTCTCCAATGGCTTTGGTGTATCTTGAACTTCTTCCTTCAGTACCATCAGTTCTTGATCATTATGCTACCTTTTGAAATGGTTAGACATCAGCCATTTCTTTTTGTTATAATACTCTGTATATAACTTACATCTTCTTTTGATGCTTCATTCAATATATTGCCCAAAGAATCCTTCAATATTGCAATCTGAGGCTTGAATTTTTTCTTCATCTTTCAACTTAAGAAATGCTGAGCAGCATGTTCTTCTCTTTTGGTTTTGTAACTCCAGGTTTTGCATGTTTCATTATAATACTTTGTTTTCTCAAGCTGCCCTTTGAAATGTTCTGTTCAGCTCTTTAACTTCCTCATTTCTTTTATTGGTTTTAGCTTTTCTATGTTCACCAGCCATTCCATGGGAGAAAGATGAGGCTTTCTGGTTCTGCAAAGATTTACAGCCTCAGAAACCGACTCGGTGGCAGACAACCACCGACACCAGCATAGTATGGTGTTTCTTAGGCTGTAAACCTTTGCTGCTGATGGGCTCAAGCCACAGACCTTGTGATTCGCAGTCTAGTGCTTATCCTACAGAACCACCTTGCACCCCTGCATGAAGATTACAGCCTAGAAGATGTTCTGGGAACAGTTGGAGTCTGTCACCTGTGGTTGCTCTGAGTTAAAGTCAACTCGACATTAACATCCTCACATCAGCTGTTAAGTGTACACCTACAAATGCCTAGTATTGTGCCAGACATGAATGCCACCTGAAGTATGTGTTGTATTGACAAAACTTCAGAGTCCAAATTTGAAAAACAAAAACTGCAAAGTCTAGGAAAATTTTATTTTTATTTTTAATCCTCAGAGTATCTGGGTAGTTTTGTCTCTAAGACTTTCTGCTGCTATCATTTTGATAATGAATCGAAGTTTATCTACCTGCCAGGTTAGAGCAGAGTGCAGGAGATGCGCTATGTCCTTTAGGCAGTCAACAGTGCCTGGGGTTTTGCTACCGGCTCATTCTATGGCAGGAGGCTAGGGGGCAGCACAGATCTGTGGATGCAGAAAATGGGAGCCATACTATCTGGTAAGGAGGGCTGCAGAAATCTTTCAAACCCATTTACCTGCAGACTGCCTTTCTGATCGTGCTTACA